CCCGGACTAATGTCACTAATAAAGATAAATCATTTTAAAATCAAAGAATTCTAATTATTGATTATTGATTCAGAGTTTTTATGTTATAGTCCAGTGAACCAACATATAAGAAAATGTGTCTCAATGCAGGTAGTGGATTTGGAGTTAGCATATGCAGACTTTTGATGTCCCATTTTCTGAACAGATAAAATGGAGATGGGGAGTAGAAACAGGAATCCAAAAGGTAGAAAAACGTCACTGCACTGAATGGTCAACAGTGGGGAATGGATCAATTTCGCTGTGCGTCAGTGGTTTTTGTGTAGATAATGGTAATTTGAGGAGAACAAAGCCAAAGGGTCTAGTTTCAGACAGAAATTTTGTGGAGCGGAAATGACTTGAACAGCTCCACCACGGTTTCCCTTTGAGTCATATGGAATAACCTCCATTTGATCTCCTCACATGCTTCTCATTTCCCTGTTGTTCTGCTCTTAGGTGATCGGTTTATGTCACTAACATTATCCTTTATTTATCCAGGTAAAGGTCTCATTAAAATCTCTTTTCCAAGAGAGACCTGGCCAAGAGGATAGCAGACATTACGACAAATACAACACATAACAATACAACAATTAAAAAACAAATACAATATTCCATGCAGACAAATGAACACAAGCATGTGAATCACCAGCCCCCTTACCCTTTATGTTTCCTCACCATCAGACCCTTTGGCTTAAATTATTTCTCCTTTCTAGACTGGAGATTACAGAAAGTGTTTTGGATGTGTGACCATGCCAATAGACCATTATAGTTGTGAATCTACAGTCTTAAAAATAGATTTTGGTGACGGTTATTGAGTTACCTTCATTTGAACACATGCTACAGGCCAATATGAGATTTTCTGCAAATTGAATCTTGTGTTCGCCATAAGTGCTGCTGTCATATGAGTTTCAGTGTAAACCTTAAAAAATGCATTCAGCAAGTAAGATGCTGATTGAAATTAATAATATATAGGGGGCCGATGAAAAGTTTATAGCTCAGAAAACTGAGTGCCAATGGCTTTTTAGTTAATAATTATATTCCTAGACACAACTGTGCAAAGGAGCAATAACAGCAGGAAAAATATAATCAAACTTAGCCTAGCTTTTTATTTATTTATTTTTCATTTAACCTTTATTTATACATGTAGTCCCATTGAGACCTAATGTCTCATTTGCAAGAGAGACCTAAACATTGAACACTGACCTAAAAGCACAATAAAATATGCCTTACTCAAGGGATGGACCAGTGTTGTGTCACATAATAAACAAATTAGCAGAGAATCAATTTTTAATTGTGTTTTTATGCATTTTTACTAGAAGCCTGTTCCAAAGACACATTATTTGCTCCAATTTCTTTAGTTGAATCTATTTTTTAAAAAATGCCAAAGATAACAGTTTTATAAACAGACATAAAATATTATTTTTCCACCAACAAAGTGATTCCAAAAAGTGGTATTAATCAAAAACTTTAGCATATCTGAGCATGGTGTGCCTCAAGACTTGGAGCAAACTGGACAAGTGGAGAACAAAAGAGTGTCAGTCCATAACAAACTCTCTACAGTGGATGAACAATATCCTTAACAAATAGGAACACAAGACCTGACATATTACTTGAGAAATTAATTTAGCCCTTCATTTGATCCAGCTACTGCTGCAGCTCCAGATACTTAAATTGTTAATCACTTTGTGCAGCATGAACAGTTTGGAAATGTGCTATATAAATAAACTTGACCTTGACCTTGACCTGCTGTTCACTGAGGTAAATAATGGTCTTACTAGAAGGATGGCTGTCAAGAAAAAAGTATGAGGTATAAAAATTTTGGTTCAAACTTTTACATATTAATATTCTGCACAATTTAAACAACATATTGTTGTAGCATTATATTATTAGGCTAACAGATTATTAAGCCAATAAAACTGGGGGTTGGGTTGGTGGGTGGGGTTTTCTAGCCTTTAAAGTCAGATTTCTAAAAGAGTCTTTGAAACAAACCTTTCAATGTGAAATCGCTTCAGCTCCAGCAGCTCGGTGTTCGAGCTCTTTAAACTTCCTCTAAGGGTGACCCTTAGACAAAACTAATTTCACCCAATTTTTTTGTCACTTCCCAAAGTAGAGCCATAGGTTGGAACATGTCTGACAGGTAAATAAAAGCTTTTGCTCTGGCTCAGGTTTGCTTTATTGCTGATGACAGTCAACCTTTAATTCTCACGCTTTCTTTTTCTTTCACTTAGGAACAAAACTCCAACAGCTTTCCCCCAATCCAAAGAGATCAAGCCACTATTTTTCAGCAGGGAGCCATCTTACAAACACTTTGAGGTACCAACCGAAGCAGGAACTGCTTGGGTTGTCGTGGAGCGCCTAAAACTGCATTTCCTCCAGTGGTTTCTCCCTTCCCTCATATTATTACATCAGCTGTTAGGTGTTTCCTTGGCCTCATCTTCATTAATTCCAGTCCGGGAACTTCATCTCTCCATCTTGATTGTGCTGCTGGGGAATTTATTTTAATCGAATTGTATCACAAATAACATAGCTTGCTATGTGGTACAGTTATTTGCGCTTCAGTTTGTGTGAGTAAAGTTCTAGTAGGTGAATTTGAACTGTTACTGCACAGTAACTAACATGTGCCCTTATCTGTGCGTGGCCTGCACAGTTTATGTGGGCTAGCAGTAATTACTAACTTAATACTCCACACTCCAAAGTGATATCTTACTCTGAAGTCAAAATTTTGAAATAATAACTGTAAATTTCAACTTAGCTCTGCCTGGCAATTTATTGATTTTGACCGGTTTTGACCAATTAACCTAACCCCACTAACTGCGTGTCTTTAGGAAGCAAGAGAACCCGGAGAGAACCCACACAAACACGGGGAGAACATGCAAACTCCACACAGAAAGGCATTTTCTGTGTGGATGGTGGCCAGATGGTGGAGTCAAACTCAGGACCTTCTTGCTGTGAGGCCACAGTGCTAATCGCCGTGCTGCACGATTTTAACAAATTAAAATTAAAATCTCCCTGATGTACCTTTAATCTTGAGTAGTAGGGGGATAAAAAAAAAAGGTTCAAAGGTGCATATTTTGTTGACGTCTGCTTTACTTCCGTGCTGCTTGCTTCTGTCACAATAGTGTCATAACTCACACAGGAAATAACTTCCATGTGAAAGTTTGGGTTTTTTAAAGGGCATAGTTGACATCTATCCTTGAGTTTGGTTTTTTGATTTTTGTATGTGGCCTTCTAAACTGGTTTTTCATCTTCTCAGCTCTTTGTTGGGAATGATAATTCAACCGGAATAACTTCATGTCAATCCAGGCCATTCTCCCACTGATTGTCACAAAACCTTGGCTATGCAGGAGCAGTAATTTAACTTCTGGAACCTTGAAAGCCCAAAATATCTCCTCCCACTGCTTACAAGGCTGCTGGATCAGTGCGCAGTTAGAGGCTGTTCAAAGCAGTAGTAGAACGGCAATTTTGTGCTTGGTTTTAGTCATTTACCCTCACTTTACAAGGAAAGTTACCAGGGTCAGACCTTCTTTTACTCAGATGTGTCTGCAGCCTTGATTGAATGAATCATATGCCACAGTGACTCACATCTCACAAGTGATGCAGTTATGATCATTGTACCCTTTTATTATATTTCCGATTGTATATTATATTCATGCCGTATTTCTTTGTAAGCTACTAAAGGAGGTGATGGACTGCACATGTTTAGCGCATATATAACATGACAAGGACAAAATTCCCTATATTATTACAAAAATCAATAAATAAACTTTAGCGATTTTCTGTCATCATCCCCACTGAGAGCAAAGTATGCCAGACAATTCTCCATGTCATTTCCATCTTCTTAAAGCAGGAGTGCATAAATACTCCTGTTATTCTTATCGGAGGCTGTGTGCCACTGTGTGATTGGCTGATAGCTGATGACTCATTTCAACAGGCTGGTGTGGGGCTGGCAAAGGAGCGGAGGGTAGGTGGTGGTGAAAAGGGGGAGCAGGAGGTGGGAGTAAAGCTTTCTCCCACTGCGTGTACGCTTATGTGCAGTGCTGTTGTACAGCGCGCCGTTTCGCACAAAAGCACACAACATAAATACTTGCAAACGGAGTCAACTTCATCTATACACTTACTCATTGTGTTTTCTGCTCATCTCTTCAGCCGCGGTTGCCTGTAGCCATACTTGAGGAGAGACATAGAGCCGGAAGGAGAGAGAGAGAGAGAGAGAGAGAGAGAGAGAGAGGAGGGAGAAAGAGAGAGTGAGAGAGAGGAGGGAGACTTGTGTTGATCAGAGAGTCTGCAGCCCCCCAGCCTTCCCTCTGTTGCTGCTACAGTACGTGTGAAAGGAAGAGGGAGAGGCAGCAGAAGCAGATCTGCTGTTTGACTCTGAGACTCGGAGGGAAGAGCAGAGCGCTGTGAGGTGTGCAGTGCAGAGCAGATCCAGTCAGTCTTCTGGTATGTGTCCAGTGTGAGCAACTCAGCCGAGTCCCTGCGCACTTCTGTCTGAGCTGCCTCGCACCCCAGGACTCTGAAACCAGCTACACAAACAGGTGAGTGTCAACAGAATCATGACAAAATACTCGACTCACTAAAGACTGCACTGGATGTATCCATGTGATTATCATTGTTATTATTATGATTTCCACCAGTCTGTGTTTATTTTACTGTAATGTATGCATGTTACTATTTGAATATTGTAGTATATACAGGAATGATTTCACAAATGCCAAAAGTTCTTCTTAAGAAATGAGGTGTATCCACCTTTGGTTTTGTGCGCGTCGATGTGACAGGTGGGGGTGTTTTCACATATATGTTCGTGCAAACGTTAGTTTGTATGAAGGCTTGTTTACCTTCTCGCTGACAGGTGAGAAAGACCGCTGGGACTTGGGGAAAGCGTTGCCTCTGGAAGGAGTAAATGCATTTGATTTCATCCCTGTTTCCCCATGTGTCTATGTGTCCCTGCTAGAGAGAGTGGGTGGAGTGGAAACTGTTTCTGCCACTGCTCTCTCAGTGTAGTTTAGAAACAGGGGAGATAAAAACAAGATACCCCCCCGGCCCCCCCCCCCCCCAAATAAAAAAAAACAACAACACAAGATGAAGACAGTTTCATCTCAGAAGCTGTGCTTTAGGCGGACTACAGTATTTGATGGAATGCAGATTGCGCCTCCGTTCCAGCCCGCAATTTGTCCGTGTGGACACAGTAGTTTATCAACAACTGCCGGGAATATCTGCAGGAGTTTACACTTCAGATTTACGCTGTTATTCTTGAGCTTAGCGTGAGCCTTTCGTCTCAACTGCGCAAGAGAACGACTGCATCCATCCCTAATTATTGTAGCATTGGTAGAATGCGATCGCTGTAGTCTAAGACTGTAGCAATATTCTCGCTTTAACATCTAATCTGTTACATAATAAGGTTCTCAGCATACTGGCTTGGTTTCAAAAATAGAGCTGACATCAAATCAAAGATCTCTCTAATGGGCCAGATCATGCATGCCTTTTTTCTGTGGCGTTATATGCAGCAAACAGTCTGCTGTTAATTTGGAATAAGGCTTTTTTTTTGGCTCACATGTCCACTTTTCTCCTGTCTGTGTTAGTGTATCATATCAGTGCTGATTTCTTTATTTGTTTTGCCCTGATTGAGCCCAAACTTAATTATTTGTACTGTGTTGCAAAGCTGGATTCCTCTTTAGCACCTTCTCCTCCATATTGGTGTGTAACACTCGTCACTTGTACTGCATCCTGGGATGTAATTACGTGTAATGGCAGCTCATGAATGTTTACCGCAGGGAATCAGCAGGTTGGTCTAGAATTATTTTCTCCACTGCAGAACTTGTTGAATGGACTTTAGTTCTTTTGAAGTTTGTCTTTGAACTAAGCCTGAATCTGACCAACTTCAAGCCTGTATGATTTGCTTAAAGAGAGGACAGAGAAATACAATCCTTTGAATAAAAGCATATGGCTGAATGAGATTTCACAGAGACACATTGTCAGTGTTTAGATGGTTTAAACCCCTGAGCCATGACCGTGATCTGGGCTGCCATTGACAGCGAAAATTCCCCTCGGTGTTTGCTGCTGTTGTTTGCCTCCAACTGTCAATCTGTCACTGCTGTGATGTTGAAAAAACAGCCCAAGCTCCCCATTGACTGTGCCACCTCCTTTTTTCACCCAACCTCCAGTATATATGTACCGACATCCATCCATCCATCCATCCATCCATGTTTCTCCCACCAGGTTTGAAATTGTCTCTTCACTTTTACCATGCGCCTCCCTCCACCCCTCTCCGCTCTGGTCGCCACAGAAACGGCTGATTCAGGAAGGGTGGGCGGGTGTCTCAGAGCTCTTGCTGCTCTGCCCCATGCGGCGCTTTCACAGTACATTTCTGCTTCTGTGCTGCTTTTATGGCCCTGATATGCTGACAGTTCAGGTGGCTCAGTCAGATGTTATACAATTGTATCAGCTACACAAAGCCTGTTTGTTCACTTCCCTCAAAGGACATGTTCAGAATTTAGACTTGCATTGCCATTCATGTTCAGTTTTTATTCTAACAATGGATCACAAGGAAGCCTCTTGATTGCCCGCTGACAAATAACTAGTGGTGGCAGATTTCTTTTTTAATGGTTTGTTTGTTAAATTTGTGCAGACATTATTTGTGGTTATGAAGTGAGCGGCTGTCTTTTTATGGTCTTCTAATTAAGTGATCCAGGGAGATTGCAGATCTGTTTTATGTGGCACCTGGGTCAGAATCAGAGTCGCACTGTGTGTGTTTAGAGACTATACTGAGGTGATTAATAATGTAATATACCATGACTGAGGCGTTAAATAATAGATATTCTATGACCTTTCTCTTACATAAGGTTGATAAAATAGAATAAGAGTGATGGAGTGAAGGATTGCCATGAGTAGGTAGATCTGCAGACTTTTTATTTTTTGGTATGAATTACTTATTTATTTAATTTACACATGTATTGCAGTTGACCTCCCACTCAAACACCAAATAAAAGATTAGCTCCTGTAATTACAGGCGTATTAAACAGAAGTGTTTTTTTGTTTTGTGTTGTGGTTTTAACCATTTTTGTTGCATTTTTCCAGATAGCTCTGGTTGCCATGGTGATAATTTGTACAGTAGCTTAAAAACGCCACCCTTTGGAAAAGGCTTCCAAACAGGAAATGAAACTAGTGTTTTTACTGCAGTCAATTCCAAGCAGGACCCCATGAGTTCATCCTGCTGTGCCTGATTAAATTAAAATGGGAATTGTATTCACTTAGGAGATAATGGTGGAGAGAAGCTTCGTGAAAATCGAGCTTTTGATGCTTTTATGTTCGCTGTACAAGCATATTATTGATTACCGAGTCACAGCCTTTCTGTGGCATATCGCTGACGATGTAGCTACTGAGGGGAAAAAAAGTTATTTGCCGTTCATCTTATTTTGCTTTTCAAAATGCAAGAAGAGCACAGTGTAGCCATCTATTTAGTCATTAATTTGTGATTTATAGCACTATTTGGTCGGGTTCTGTTTTTTATTTTCTTCTTTTAGAGCTACAAAATTCATGCAGGTTAAAGTGTTTTTTCCACCCTGCAGTGTTCAGCTATTACAGTCAGTGGTGACGCAGCCCGAGACTCATACAGCACACTGCAGAGCCGTCACGAGACACAGCCAGAACAAAGAGCGCACACTGTCATCTAAGAGAAGAACTCAACACAGAAGCAGCCTGTTGAGGCACCAAAGTGTGACATACAATACAGCAGGACACCATGTGCTGAGACCTAACTGACTCATTCGGCTACCTTGTGGCACTAAAGGTCTCAGGTGGGACCTTGTTAGTTCACTGTTGAATATATTGCTCTTCCTTATTCTCATAAACATGAAAACAAATGGGCACGCAGAAGTTCACAGATGAAACAGTGGTACCAGGCACTTTAATCATGTGTGTCTTCACCCTGATTCCCCAAGCGCATAGCTACAGATTTGCAAAAGCAAAAGCAAACAATCGTGGAAATATTTATTACCAAATAACTCAAATATCTTGAAAAGAAACACAAGTACAGTAAAATTGATTATTATGGTTTTTTTTTGCTGTGTACAGACAAGTTTATGAATACAGTGAATTACCACAAAAAATGTGGACCAACTTAGTCCAAGAACCCACTACCACACATAACAGTGATGCTTCAAATGTTCCCTACAACATACAAAACCAGTGAGTGAACATGAGAAGGAAGTGAGTCCTGAATGCCTTCTGAAGGCAAAGCTTAAAAAGCTGGTTTTACTTTAAAGGTCACATGGCTTTTTAAAGTCACCACAGCCAAGACAACTTGCTTGAGTACAAACCAAACATCAGAATGGGGAAGAAAGGTGATTTAAGTGACAGAAGAACATCTATGAACACATTTGAATGTGGCATGGTTGTAGGTGCCAGACAGGCTGGCTCAGGATTTCAAAAACTGCTGATCTGCTGAGACCATCTCTGAGTTTTAATGAGCTGCAATTCTCTGGGTGAAAATGTTTTGTTGATGCTAGACGTCAGAGGAGAATGGCTAGACTGCTTGAATCTAATAGGAAGGCAACGGATCACCGCTATGGTATGCAGAAGTGCATCTATCAATGCATAATACTTCAAACATTGAACAAGATTGGCTCACAGAAGACCACACAGCCTGTCAGCTAAGAACAAGAAACCCAGGCTACAGTTCACACGGGTTCACCAATGCTGGTGGACAGCAGATGGATAAAAAACACCTGAGTCTCAATTTTTGCAGCAACATTCAATGGTAGGACCAGAATCCATTTTACTTTGTATCAGTGGTTCAGGCTGGTGGTGTTGTAACGGTGTGGGAGATATTTTCTTGGCACATTGTGAGCCCCTTAGTCCAAATAAGGATTACTTAAATAGCACAGCTTACCAAAGTATTGATGCTGACCATATCTATCCTTTATGACTGCAGACTGCCCATTTTCTGATGGCTGCTTCCAGCAGGATAAAAAAACATGTTAGAAAGCATAGATCACCTCAAACTGGTTTCTTGATTTCAAATGACCCGCACAGTCACCAGATCTCGATCCAGGAACGCACTTTTGGGATGTTGTTGAACAGGAGATTCTCATCATGGATGTGCAACTGTATGATGCTATCATGTCATCATCACGTTAAATCTATGATGAGAAAAATTAACTCAGTTCTGAAGCCAAAAGAGGTTTCGACTTGTATGAGGAACGTTTACCAAATGAAGTGTCTAGTAAGTCTATATGTCCGTGTAGGAAGATTATACTCCTTTGCTTTCATGAGTAGGTTAACTATTATTGGAGATTCTGTATTGTAAATTCATCAGCAGGACCACGCCTCCAAACACGCTCCTTTCGGCTGTCATCTATATAGGTTCCCCCAGTTCTGCAAGCTGATCATTCTCGTTTACGTGCCCCACCCTCCCTCCTTGTTCTCCATTCTTCAACTTCTTCACTTCTATTTAGTACATGGGGATCTGCCAGGCCCGGGAGCCGTCGCCAGTCCCCTTCGAGGCCTTCCCCAAACCGCAGCTCACTTCATGTCAAAG